TTGTTTTTCTTAAAATTTTGGAATTTTATGGATTTTTTTCGATTTGTTAAGTTTTGTATGTTTTTTTTTTAATTTTTTTTTTGTTTTTTTTTTGTTGAAAATAATTACAAATTGACCCCTAAATTGATAAATATTTATCCAAAACACCAATTTTATAGTTTTTTAACATGTTTACATATACTTGAGGTATGTCACCATGTATTACATAATAGTTTGTGTAGTTCAGAAGACATTTCTATAATTCGGATGGTTTGCAATATATTACGCAATACTTGGTGTAGCTAAAAATGAAATTTCCAAATTTGAAATCTAAAAGGTGTTAGTCCACATATTCTGTGAAATTTTTAGGATTGATTTTTGTTGTGTTTTACAGCAGATTGTTTTCGTTATTTTTTTAATAAGAGGCCAATGATATCATTGACTAATTTTAATATAATTTGAAACCTAAAAGGTGTTAGTCTGACATTTTAAGGATTGAATTTTTTTTTTAAGAAAAAAAATTAAATCTAAAAGGTAGGATTGATATTTCTTTTGGACAGCATTATTGACTCTTATTTAAGAAATGAAAGTAAAAAGTAAGTTAACAATCCAATGATATCATTGACTAATTTTGATTGAAACTTAGTATATGTTAATCCACATATTTCATGATTAAAACATTTTTAGGATTGATTTGTTAACAAAAGAGTTGCGCAGTTATATTATTGTATAATTTTTGATAAAAATTGAAATCTAATAGTGTTAGTTCATATACTTGTTACGATGATATGATATTTTTCAAATTGATTTTGAACAATCAGACCGCAAAACAGACTGGTTGCTCCTGTAATTCTTTGCTTTTTGTAAAAATTTAGCTCATCAATGACTAATCTCTTACAAGGGGATGTGATAGATCAAAAGAAACAATCATTTGGTTTCTGAAATAAAGGGGTTTGCTCAATATAAAAGTTTAGAAAATGGAATTCAAAGGAAGTGAATCCTTCAATGCCTATAAAAAGAGGCAAAAGAAGAGCAAAAACACCACCACCCATCTATGGAGAAGAAGATGGTCTAGTTTCGCATCGCTCTTTACGGTTTTCCCATCTTTGCGGTCAAACGATTTAAACCCCTCCTTATACTTGTTGGTAAGATGTTCTTTCATCTCTACCAAAAGAAGCAAAAAAACAATCTTAAACCGTATATATCTTACTTCAATTCCTCTTAGCTTCAAGGTTTGACCCCTCTTTCAGTGCGATTTGAGATTCCTTCTCCATCCCTAGGAAGCCAAGGGAAGCAGACTGGAGGTAAGACGCGACGTGCCACACGGGAGAGATGACTTGGGCTTGGATTGCATCATCTAAAGCTTCTTTCGGCATGTCACTCATTAGGTAACACAAACTACGCCGTGCACACACTGTTGGAGAGATCATTCCTCCATCAATAAACTGTGCAAGATCAAAAAACATTCTCATGTTAATGCGCTAGGCCTTCATATACTTTGTTTAGGTGCAAAGAAAAAAAAACACCGACCTGCGTGTAACACTCAATGGCCTCTCTAAAGTCTTTCTGTCTGAAAGCGACATCACCCTTCTTCTTTGAGTTCAATGACTCTTGCATTTGGTCTGTCCACATATGAAACGAGAGCTGCATTTGCCAAAACATTGTAATTCAATACCATGAAGAACCAAGCAAAACTACAGACATTATATCTTATACAAACCTTTAGGACAACATCAGTAGCTATAACAAGACGCAATTAACTGATTAACACATCCAAACCACTTTTTAGACCAACTTAATTTTACCTCATTGGTGACGCCCTCATCGTCTCTGTATCCAAGTTTATCCAAGATCTCAAGCATAGCGGTCAGGTCCCTTCTTGAACAAGCCTCACCAAGAGGGGACATAGGAGACACCGAACCACTGTGAGGCAGACCCATTAGAACATGGGACGGGACCTGCAGTTTCCAATACATGGACACATTTTCCTGTGTCAAAATACATAAACTTGGAGCTGTGTTTTTCAATGGCTCGAAATATCAAATGGTACCTCTGTCTCCTTCTGAAGAGGCGTCAGGGCAGTGACCAAAGATTTTGGGTTTGGCCTCTCACGAGCTTCATACTGCAGACAACGAGACGCCAGTCGTACTAGCTCTGTGCCATCGCTGTCAGAAAATTGCCCGTCTAGGCAAGAATCAGTTAGCGTCTGGAGATTTCTGTCTCTAATCAGATCAAGGGCCTACATTAAACAGATTGAGAAAGAATCAGTCTTCAACTCCATGTAAAAACTGTAATCTCATTGGATAAACAAACTTATTTTTGGCTAAAATACTTACATGGCTAGGAGGTATATGTTTCCCACTGAGAAGATCAAGCAGAAGAGTGCCAAAGCTGTATATCACACTCTCTGGAGTAATTCTCCCTGTAAACACAAGCAAAAACAGAAGTTGCGGTTTAATCTCAAACCATATCAATCCTGGAAAATAATTTGATGATGTACCAGTTCGTAGATATTCAGGAGGGGTGAAAGCAAGATTAGTGCTGTAACTTTTTCCGTCCCGACTATTCTTCATCAAGCCAAAAGTAGAAAGTCTTGGATTGCATTCCTTAAAAGTCCCTTAAGGCGTCAGAGAATGAAGGAACAACAGCATCGAAACATGGACAGGTTGATTATATAGTCAATCATTCATACCTCATCAAATAAAACCCGGTAAGCGTTGAGGTCGTGGTAAAGAGTACGGCCTTTGTTCGTGCAGTATTCAAGAGCTTGTGCTAAATATAAAACAACCCGTAGCCTCATCGTCCATTTCATAGGTTGTGTTTCCCCTGGTCGCATAAAAAATTACACTTTAGTACCAAGAATCGCATCACAAATCAAACACTATATATACAGAAATACGAGCCTTACAATGAAAAAGGTGTTTGGCAAGTGTTTCATTGGGCATAAATTCTGCCACAAGCAACCTCTCGTCACCTTCGCAGCAACATCCGAGTAAATTGGCCATTCTCTCACTGCGTAGCTGACCAACCGACCTCGCTTCCTCCTGCAAGAGGAAGAACATATTCCCAACATAAAGATTTCGTATAAAACCGATAAACAAAGTTTAGAATTTCAAAGGGTCTATGTGTGTTACCAGGAATTGTCGAGCATCAGGCCACGCCATTCTTGTGAAACGCTTGACAGCAATCTTCTTTTGATTCTCCAATTTCCCTTTATAGACAACATTTGGAGCTTTTTCTCCATGCTCAGATACAATATACTCCACAGCAAAACCAGAAGTAGCTGACTTCAGCTGTTCTAGTGTGTACTCACGGAAACCAGGCACATCAGTGATCTCACAATTCTCTCCATTTTCTGAAAAAAAGTAAATTCAAAAAAATACCAATCAGACACGGCTAATTAAGCTTCTTAGATCCAAATGGAAGAAGAAGACAGACAGACAAAACACTACTACTAACCAACATCAGGAGCTTCAAGAACAGCTGTCTTGTGTGATGATTTCCGACAACAATGACCGAGGTTAGAGCATTGACCTCCCATCGAAACAAGTCTTCCACAAAAAAAATCTTACAAAACTGAATCTTGTTTCTTCAGCTCAATGGAAGATTCCTTTCAATTAGAGGACGTCTCTTGGTAAACCCAAGAGCTGCAATAAATTATATCTTCGTAAAAATCGAATCTTTTGGAATGAAAATCCGTTTCATATTCATATCAATCATAGTAATGAAACTCACACCAAAGAACAAATAAAAAAAAAGATTTTGAAAAAGGACCAGATTTGGTAAAGAAAAAGGTCGTACCTTTG